TTACTAGCTTTTTCAATTTTCAGAAATATCAAGTGAAACTACATGTAGCAGCGAAGAAGAGCCAGACCTTTTTGTAACAAATGGATCGGAAAATTCAGGTATATATAATATGTATCATAATCAAGCTTTTTTACTTTTATATGGGCCTAGCTTACAGTAAAATGGATATATATCAATAAACTATGCCTGTATTTTGTAGATGCTTTACCAGATGATGCTTTGCCAGATGATGCTTTACCAGATGATGCTTTACCAGATGATGTTGTTTCTAGTAGAAACACATTTGCTGATAATAAAGGTATAGTGTTACTTTGTAGAAAAAAATATGCATTGATCTACACTTGATATGATTTGTCATCATAAAGCTTGATCCAAAAAATAGTTGTTTACTTTAGATTTATTGCAGTTTTATCACAAGTTGCAGTCTACGACTTCAGAAAAATTAAAGGCTACACGTTAATTTTGTATTTGTGACTTGTACTTGTATATGTTTTGTCTTTTCAAAAGAATTATGCAACTAGACACTGCCACGGTGTAGTGCAAACTCGTGCCATTAGAGGTCTGTTACCCAATTAGATGGAATGAAACCAGAAACGTTTTTGCCCATATTTTTATTACTTTTGCCTAGAAAACAGATTGTATAGGCAAACGCAATAAATTTCTATGTGTAAAATACTTATTATTACTCCATTGTCAAAGAAATTGCGACCTTTATAGGTGAACTGACTCGATGTATTACATAGTAAGGAATATAGTGCAAGTGCACAAGCAAGTGCGCAAAGAGTTAAGTTATGATGACGTCATACAAATTGGTAACTTGGGAAAAAGACAAAAACTTAACTAGACGTGTTATGTTCTATACCTTGCGCCAGCGTAGCCTGGGCACGAGTAATAATATTAATTTATTTTTTCATTGATTTTATAGATCAAACAGCAAATAAAAGTGCTAAACCTCTTGCATATTCCCTAATGCAGTGGATTTGTCTCGTTCTTCTTCATGTAAAATTCAAATGCCAGCTATCAAGTTCAGCACTAGGATACATCCTTTGTTTGTTTTCGGTTRTTTTTGCTTTTTTTTGCTACCCGTTGGTGGGTATTTTCCCGACATCTGCGCATACATTACTGAAATTTACAGGGGCAAGTGGACACCTAAAAGAGACATCATTTGTTGTTTGTCCTAATAAGAAGTGTAATGCCCTATACAAGCTCGAAGAACTTTTCATCTACAATACAAATGGAGACATTSTGCGTGCAAAGTGTTGTACAGCAATGCTAGGGAGATCTCGAAAAAAAGTATGTGGCTCTGAATTATTATATCAGAAGAAAATGGTCCTAAGAAAGGATTATTTTGCACCTTATAAGACTTATGAATTTMTTCCGCCGTCTTCTTGGCTTGCCAAGTTTTTTGAGAGAGAAAGTTTCTACAGTCTTTTAAATGAAAAACCAGTTAGCAGAGAGAAAAATAACATATCTGACATCAGACATGGAAGGCTATGGCAAGAGTTTCTCTTGCATCCGAATACTGGTGAACAATTGCTTAATGACCCAAAAAATATAGCTTTTATTTTGAACGTAGATTGGTTTTGTCCTTTTAAGAGGTCTNCAGTTTAAGAACAAATCAATGCTATTGTGTATATCTGCTGATTTGCCAGCATCGCGTAAAATTACACAATTCAAATCTCACAAAAGCATAAAGAGTTGCGACAAGTGTAATTTTACAGCAGTACGACAACCAGGCACGAAAGGAGCGTCAGGCAAAATGAGTTTTGTAACAGAGAAACGTCCAAACCGTCCAACTCCTCGAAGTAAACTATCAGTAAAGGAGGATGCGATGCGATTTMAACATGCCAAAACTAAACAAGAAGCCCAAAGAATATCAAAGATGACAGGAGTAAAATACTCCTGTTTATTACGACTTCCGTACTTTGATCCCGTGCGAATGGTTGTGGTAGATCCCATGCACTCTTTCCTTTTAGGCCTAGTCAAAAATGAAGCCGAAAAACACCTCGATGCTGATTGTTACAACAAGAGATACTCCATGCCTTCAGGAAAAAAGAGAGAATTTGCACGAAGAATGAAGGAAATGAAAGTTCCTTACGACATGGGAAGATTACCTACACACATGACGGAGAAAAAGACACTGTCTGCCCTAACCGCCCAACAATTAAAAAACTACATCAGCATTTATGCAAAAGCTTGCCTTTTTAACCTGATACCAATGAAGGCATATAACTGTTTCGCTCTCCTTTCTGAAGCTGTCAGAATAATTTCTCTTCCTTGTATAACCTCTGAAGAAATAACGGACTTRGAAAACATTTTGGAAGAACACCACGAGAGGTACACAGCCTTGTATGGCAAATGGTCTGTATCCATAAATTATCACATGGTACTGCACACACCTCAGATGATAAGAGATTTTGGTCCAGCTTCAGGGTTCTGGTGTTTTCCGTTCGAACGTTACAATGGTGTGTTGGAAGGAATACCAAACAGTGGCAGAAGCGTTGAACAACAGTTTATTCATTCATTCCAAAATGATTGCTTTGACACAGAACTAACTGCTTTACCAACTTGTCTACGAGTAGAAGATGTCCCTTCAAAACTTTCAAATTTGTTACACGAGGAAAGAGCAGAACAAAATACGCTGACGAACCTGCTTGATAATGAGGCTGCAAATAACTTCTATGCTTCTAATGCATYGAAACAGGCTATCATACAAGTTGAAGGAGAGGATAAAGTTGACAACTGGACTGTTTCRATGCATTCGCCACAGAAAGAAAATGTCCAAGTGAATATAACATTTCGAAATGAACTTATCCATTATTTCAGGAACATTTATGAACATGTGGACATAGTTCATGGCAGGGTGCACAAGTACGGTCGTTGTAAAGTTAACGGTATAATGTTCACTTCTCTCTTCAACACAACCGACAGAGGGAACATCGTAAAAGCATACTTTCCCGTATCTGATTCTGATGAAGATATTTCTCAATTATATGGCAAAGTTCTTTTCTTCTTTAAATCAAAGGTGTACTATAAAGGAAACGACGGAAAAGTCCTAAATAAGATGCACAACCTTGCTTACGTCAACTGGTTCCAGTACAATTCCCTAGTTGTCACTAAAGACGAGAAGAAATCAGGCATGCTCCAAGTCTCTTCCAARATTTTAGATAACTTTSAGCCAATCGTCWATGTGCGACGAYTAGTTTCAAGGTGTGTGYTATCATCTATCGAACCMATATCGACATCACGTTTTGTAATAGAACTTCCATTCCCTACTTCGSAAGTATGTTAAGGCCCGATTTTTATTTGTTTTTATGGATGATTTCAAACTGATAGATCAGGTTACCTATAGGTATTTACATTTGGATTTTTCCCATATCTTAACGTTTCAGTTTTCAAAAATTGGCAATGTAAAAAAGCTTTTGTGTACGTTCGCCATTACTATCATCGTATACAACAGGCCCGTGAGGGATTGGGATCAGGGATCAGGGGTTAAAAAAGGCCATGGGATCGGGATTACAGTCAGGTCCTCGTGATCGGGACCATAGTTTAGGGGATCGGGATCAGCCGGAAATATAAAATTACTTGGGATCAGGGATCAAAAAATTCAAGAATTTTGGATCAGGGATCACGGTTTTAAGAAAGAATATGGGATCAATGACTTAAAACTATCCCTCGTCACGACCATGTATACAAAGAACATCCCAGTTCATAACTACRCAAAGTAATACATTGCATGTAAGAATAAATCAGATTAAGTGATTGTGTTAGATTAATACAATAAAACGTATGGTAAAGTATAATTAAATCTGGATTACCTTGTGTGCTATGCTATGTTTTAACCAATCTCTTGCAAAATCCTATGCTGTATATATTGTATTGAATGGTTGGTATTAAAAAAATATTCAATAATATAAGACCAACAAATCCTGTGYTGGATTGTATAGACTCGACAATCCCAAGGGTGGTATTGTACNCATTTACTTTTTAAAGTTAGATGTCGAGTCTCTTGTCAGAGAACAGTGAATCATTAAATTTAAAAAGTACACATTTGCTCTGATTCGTTGCTGTGTCGATAAGTACGGTCGATCATTGTTATTTATTACTTTACCAAACATCACCTGTATTTTTTGTCATTGAAAGTGTTTTTCGATTGTTCATGATCTTAGGAAGTGAAGGCTATCGTAGGATTGGACATGAATTACCACTACCGCTGGTTCTTGATTTTTTCGAGTATTTTCAATCGAGCTCAAGGTGGCCAATTAACACAGGAATCAAGTTCAGCATTTTTTGTTCGGCATCATCCATTATCAGCAGGCTACCAAGATCACGACAAGTTCATCTTGAAAGACAGGACTGACAAGGACGACGAATTTGCTTGCCTTACCCTATGCAATCAAGAAGATAACGATTGCAACGCAGTTTTGTTTGATGAAAAGAAGTTACGGTGTTATACCTTTGTTAAAAAAGAGTTGACTATAGTTACACTTGAAACAACAACAGGAAAGAAAACGTTTTCGTTACCATCGAGAAGACTGCTCAGAAGAAGTTTGTACATCAAGGTTTGACTTTGTGTTTGTGTTTTAGTGGATTTATGCATTATTCAATTGAATCCCAGGCCCTCCGGCCCCCGTCCGGAGATGGATGTGGAATTAAGACCTTAGAGCCGGAGATTTGACACTTTTAACCGCACAATCCGCAACTRGGAAACTCGGGGGGATTAACGTCTAAATCAAATGAAATGAACTATAATTTAGCCGCGGTTTTTGCCAGTATGTTAACTTTGTTGAAATGTTAATTGGCCCTGGTATTGCGCGATGGTTATTTATCCTAAGTGCGCTTTTTGTTTCTTTGCAGGTTCAGTAAGTCCCACACCACATCTGATTATAAACGAAAATCATATCTGTTAAATAACCACACTCAGACTGCATTGCTTTGTGATATAATTCATCCCACATGGCGCTGATGACGTAACTTGCATGCAAAGAATATATATATATATTTTTAAAAAGTGTACTTTTTGGAACCGACGTGTATAAGGTCCATTTCCAAATGAAAGCTTATAGGATCACGTACTTTTGTGACTTGGTGTTATATTTTCTGTTGGTTAGAGATCTTGGTTTCAAAGTGCTGTGTGCATGGCAAAGTGCTAATGAACCCATACCTTTCTCTTTAAAATATCGAGTTTTTATATAACTTCTACTATATAATTTTCACGAAATATGAATAAGAGGAAATTAATTTTTCCGAATTTATTGCTAAGGGTTTTTCTCCCGGAATTGCCTCCTTCTAACCACTATAACTTTCTTTCCTTTCTATATCGTGTCTATCATAGTGGGCCATGCGGTCCTCTTATCTTTATATAATTGTATAATTATTATTATATTATAATAATGCAGCTTATATTAATATTCAGTGGTGATTTGGGTTAAAAGCGAAATGTCCATGCTAAAGAGCTATTATGTAAACATTGACATCCCTCTAACGACATTAATAAGAAATTTGCATGATGTCGTCGTAATTTTACTAAAACTTTCAGAAAGCCTTGCGCATTTTCTTTAATATTCAGATTTTTAATCTCTTT